CTGCATGTGAATGAAGCCTTAATGCAAAGTGAATTTTTCTCACTTGAAAACTTTATATTTCTACATTTTAATTTTAGCACTATGATGCCCATACTTACTGTTCTCTTCCTCTTTCTCCACTCTTTCACAAGTTTAACTCTATTTTTAATAATCTGGAAAAATTCAAATAAAATATAATTCTGTATTTAAGATTATGAGACCTAGGCCCAAAGCCTAATACAATTATGAATTTGAATAAAATATATCAAATTTATTAAAATTTATAAAGAAAAGGCCAACAGCCAGAAATGTCAATTTACAAGGCAAAGAAACTCAAGCCCAAGATCACTTAAATGGAATCAGTTTCATGATTACTATTGATCAAGTCTCATCTGTTTTCACCTTTATATCAATCTCTTGAGTGTATTTTCAACTGAATAAATTATAATAATTTCACTATAATTTCCTTTTTAGCCAAGGAAATAAATGGCTGTACACTAATCTTTGTGTTACTGATAATGCAAATAAGTAATCAATATTAGTAATTTGATTTGATTTTCTGTAGCACCAGATTGAAAATTCAGTGCAAACATCTCAAGCATTTTTATAATTTTTTTTCCTTGATTAAATATGACCACAATTAAAAAGCTTTATCTATTTGTTGAATTTCACCAATCAATAAACAAAAAACTCACAACTTCTCTTTCTTCTGGACTGATAGCCTTCCCACCTTCTTTAAGCTGTGCTAGCTTCTTCTTATAGTTTTCCACCTTACAGAAGTAAATTGAGAAAAATATCACACACTATAAGACAATGCACATGTCATGTTTGTATATAAAACACAAACAGGAGAGAAAACTCATGATTACAGCTCTGCCAAAAAGTGGAAATATCATATTACTTAATCCATTATCAAAGCAATCACTGTCAAATTTGTAAATGCTGAAGTCTACCTACTGTATCTACAGTGTGTGTGTGTGTGTGTGTGTGTGTGTGTGTGTGTGTGTGTGTGCGAGAGAGAGAGAGAGAGAGAGACAGGGAGGGGAAAGGGGGGGGGGGGGGGGCTTAGAGATACCTCTCCACGAAGCATTGTCAACTGTTTCTTGGCCTCATCTGTGCTCAGAGAACTATTCAGTCCTCTCAATTCTGAAAACAATGCATGCCGCAATGACAATACAATAAATAAAACAATGGGGTTTGGTTTTTAGAGTCCATTAACCATAGAAGTGACTACAGAGGTACATGATATTTATAGGTTTTACGCAACCCAGCACAAACTATTTAGAACATAATTCTTCAAGGTTTGTCAATGGAGTGTCTGGTGTGATAAATTATGTTATATGAATAATTACCTGCAACTAAAAGCAACTGGACTATACAACAAGTTATGTGAATAGATACAATTTGTTGAAGAAATATATATAATTAAATTATACTAAATAACATTTTATTAGTGTTTCAATGAATGAAAATTGGTGTGAAATTCAAGGTGTGAGTATGGATTGTATCAGGTGAGACAAACCAGGCAAGGTGTGGCAATGGGTTGCTTCAGGTGTGATAAACTAGTTGTGACATTGTGTCTCATCTCACCATTCTCCATTTTCCTGGTTTCCTCCTGGAGAACCTTCAGTTCTTCTGTCATCTGTGCTATCTTCAGGTCCATTGCCTTCAGTTCTGTCTCATCACATGTGGGATATTGACTCTAAATAATAATAATAATAATAATAATAATAATAATAATAATAATAATAATAATAATAATAATAATAAATATTAAGCCATTTGGAAAAAAGGATTACGTTATTAATCTTACTTGTAACACTATGTCAGGGAGACTTGGGGCTACTGCAGAAGATCCTTGTTTGAACAACATTTTAAAACAATGAGTAATCCCCATGAAAGTGAATATACTACAAAAGTCCAGCAACACCCTCCTTCCATTTACACATCAAAACACAAAACATGGTTTTATAAATGACATTTTCACAAAGCAGAAATCCATACGCTGCTGACATAACAAGCACATCGTTGTTACAATAATTCATGTACTGAGAACATGCTATACCTGATCAGGTAAGTAAACTTTTTGTTTTCCATAAGTTTTCTCTTTAATCTTCCCCTCCTGTGCCAATGTTTCTAAAACTTTCACTACTGCCTGGAATAATGATTACATTAAAAATGTAACAATTACCTAGTATCTCTGATCTGAACAACTGTTTAGAGTGAAATAACTGAATTTTGTACAGCGCTGTCCTGTCCAAAATTTGTGAAAAAAAGAAATGAAAATATGTGAAATAATGACTAATGACTACATGTACGATTGCTGTGGAAAAAATATTTTGGTCTTGAAGTTTACTTGGTAAGTGCTGCGACAATAACAATCTCAGATACAGGGTTAATTTCATCCTAGTTATCACATTGTTTACTGTTTTCTCATACTCTTTGTGTAGGTTATCATTTCACTTACTGTTTTCCCATACTCTTTGTGTAGATTATTGAAGACATCTATGGCACTGTAAGGTCTGTTTTGCTGGGTGAGATACTCTAGTACTGCCCCCTTGGCTAATAATTTAATAATGATATCATGACTTTATATATTGGCATTATCATAGTACACACATGGAAAATGATTGACTGTGTGCCGTGTGGCAATACTGAGAGATGGATGCAAACCCCCCCCCCCCATCTAAACAGGCCCTAATCAGCACAAAGTTTCATGTGTTATCACTCTTATATAGATTTATGTTGCACTTTATGTCAGCACAAATATGACATACCAGAAAATTCGAGGTTAACAGACTGAGATTCAAAGATGCACTTAGTATGCACAACCAAACAAAAACAGTTGACTTACCTGATAGAACCTTTCACTTGCATGTTCATCATGCATAAAGCAAAATCAGTGAAGTTTGCTTTTAATTCTAATCAGAAAATTCACTCTTTCCTGTTCCTCTTACCTTTTTCATCTTTATTTTTGCTCATTTTTCCAACGTTTTCCGAACTCGGTGTCTCAAAATATTTCACTCGAAGAAAATGTTAATTGTTTTGTTTAGTTTCTATCCTTGGAAGGTTGAATTTTATGTCTGGGACTGTGGCACTACACTACAGTGTACTAGTAGCCTTGACAGTCCTTGTAAATGTTGTCTCCACTGCCGTTTCCCAAAAATGTTGCTTGTGTCTTCTTCCCTGATAAAAAAAAAAAACTGGGATCTTACTTTACATGGAGAAAACAAGACAGAGTTTCAAATGTTCCTTTTTCTGAAAATATCCCTCAAAATCCACTTTTGCTGATCATAGAAAAATCTAATTTCCCTCTATTTGCAGCTCTTTTTTTGATGAAGATAGGAAAAGAAGACATTGGTAGCAAATCAACAGCGATGCTACAGAAATTAGCGGACAACATCGTCAAAGGGTAGGCTGTATTTCAATGACAACTGAACGATGAATACATTTTATAGAGCACGGTTGTATTCAATCGTGTCAAATCAAGTTTATGTATCTACTGCAATATGAAGACTCACGCATACTTGATTCAGTTTCAGGGGGTTGGACTCGGTGTCCGCGCGCTTGATTATTTCAAGACGCCGAGCGCGTCTTCACTCCTTGTTCAAATAGCAAGAAAAAAGTCAACCTCGAGTAGCCCTTCTATTTTCGTTCACAATGTGTTACTGGGTTTAATCAGACAAGGTTTTCACATTGTATCAGCTGTCGCCATTCCCTAATCTATTCAGTTATGAGCTGGTACATTGTACACCGTGCAAGCTAGAACACAGTATAACTAAGCCCATTTTTGATTTAAGCGAAATTTTCACAACTTCCTGTTAATGCAACCCTTATTAAGATAATTATCATTCATTTATGTAACAATCCACTTTCGGATTTAATATGTAATCTAAATTGTCATTTTCTAGAACTCCTATTTATATATTTTTCTTATATATTTGCTAACACTATATTATTATTATTATTATTATTATTATTATTATTATTATTATTACAGACTTTAACTTCATTATTTAGTAATATGTGTGTATACCTTTTGAAGTATTTATAAAATACCAAATGATAATTATATAATTATCATATTATGAAGATAATTTATCTATGGAATGGCAATGATTTATGTTTCTAATAAGCTTAATGCCTTTTTCCTTTTCTTTTTTTTATCATGTGTTTAGAAGATGTCTGGACTTACAGAAGAACAGAAGAGAAGGATTGAAGAAAACAAGAAGCGGGCTTTGGCTAAACGTGCTGTAAAGGTTGCACAGCAGCAGCAATGTCCTCCATCTGGAGCACAACAAACGCAATCGGTGAAACCTTCCACATACGTTGCGCCATCCAATCAAGCTTCTACAAATTGGAATGGAGTTGGGAGAGGTCAGAGTTCAAATTCTTTACTCAATTCAGGGAAAGGCCAAGGTTCAGGGTCAAATTTAGGACAAGCCAAAAGTCAGAGTTCAAATTCTCACCAAACACAATTTAAGGCTGGAGGTCAAAGTTCAAATTCTCCTCTAACACAACCAAGGACTGTGTTGGGAGGTAGTGGATTCCAAGGCAACTACAAAAACACTACTTCTTCCCTGACCAGGATGATAAATTCTTCCAGTGCACAACAGATTCATCAAGGTTCCAACACCAGCAGCCATAAGAATAACACTTTTAGTGGAAGTTTTACTTCACAAAACAAAAATACAAATAGTCCAGTTATTTTGAAAGTGGGAAACTCTTCCTCCAGTGGGAATGTGTCCAATTCAGTCAGTTCCAGGACTTGCATTACCGGGAACTCTGGAACAACAACAACAGGCTGTAAAACCACCCCTAGCCCTATTCTTCCAGCACAGCAGAAGCCAACTCTCACCCCAGGCTGCCCTTCCAGCAGTAGTGATGTGAACAGGAACACTTCCCAAAGCAGTTTCTACAAGAGTTCTGCATCACAAAACCCAGCTCAGCACAATAAATTTCAAAATAAAACAGGTGTTGCATCTGATACTAACAAAGGGGTGAAGAGTATCCCACAGTCTGCTCTAGCTGCAGCAGTGACATCAGACGATTCTTTTTTCAGTAAGAAGAAGACTGCAGCAGTGAAGGGGTCTGCTGTGTTGATATCAAGGGACAGGTTTGTCTTGAGCATTGGGTATTGCAGCCCCCTTGTGGAGATATGTAAAACTATGAAGACAAGACAATATGGCAAGTAGTTTACAATGTACCAGTATACTGCAGGGTGATGGATGACTCTTCGGTGGCTCTTCTCTACTTACTAAAATAATTTCAATTTCTTTAAAAGGAGAAATTAAGAGCGTGCTGCAGGAAACTTTCGGTAGCCTCTGAAACTCGGGGTAGAGATGTTTTATGTTCTAGGGGGAGGAGACAGATGAGAGATTTCACTAAGAGTACATTAAGAACAGCGGTCTAACAGATCCATGGATCAAATATGTCAACCCACTAAAAAAGCTAGCCACTTAATTCGCCTTTAGACACTGAATAGATTACAGGGATTACGCAACAGGCATCCAAGTGGGTGGGCTATATTTGATCCGTGGATCTGTTATTCAGCTGTTCTGAATGCAGTCTTAAGGAGAAAGTGAACCAGTATCTAATATCCAGTTATAGTGAAGATGAGTCTGAAGTTATTATGTTAATCATTACTTATTAATTTTTTTGTTGTAGATTTTTGAAGTATTTTTAAGAAGAAAAACTGTTATTTTCAGAAAAGGAGGTAGATTATTTGTGAGAAAATATTATTTCCTCATTTCAGATTCCATAACCAAAAGATGGGATTTCAAATTACAAGAATATGAAGAATTAAGTAAGCATATTGACATCAAATTACAGTCCAGTTCTACAGATAATTTTTTCCATTTTGTCTATGGAAAGTTTAAGAGATTTAAAATGGGGTGCATTGTACATGTACTAGGCACTGGTACATTGAACCCCAGAAAAAAGGTTAATAACCACCGGTTATCTAAAAATATTTTTTGAAATTGTAGTTATTTTGTCTCACCTGAATAACTGCACATGCCTGCAATTTTTATCAAAGTTTGTTAAAGGACATTTTGATGTACTGTATTTCCTCTAAAATCAAGACAGACTTATTAACACTGATGAAAACATAGCCCCCTTCATTTGCACAGGTGATAAATATTTTATATCTCAGATTAATTGTCAGTCTAATTACTTTCCCTATAGTGAGGAGAGCCAGAGTTCTAATGCAGCAAGGGGTGATAGAACTGGAGGGTCTCCCCCAACCTCTCCTCCAGGCTTTTAAACCTGCCTGCCAAGGGAAGATTACAGACAGACACGTGCCGAATGCTGACTTGACATGTGTGCCTGACACACTGACTGGCTCTCTCATGCCTTTCCAGAGAGACGGAGTGAAGTGAGGATTTTTAGGAATTTCAGTTCTGCTTTTAGGATAACTTCATTTGATGGGGCCTACAAGTGAATGAAATGGAAATTCTTAATCTGATCATTAATTTTGCAGTCATTTGATGACTGTGTCTTGGGAATACCTTATGGTTTAACAATTATATGACTGTACGGTGATGATATGTATATATTTTATATTTATTATTAGAATATTATCAATTATCATATACAGTAGCTATGCTTGCACAGAAATAATATCAATAATTTCCTGCATTTGTATTTATTTGTAAAGTGTTCCAACTGTCTAGTGAGTTATTTAAAATACTTTGAAGTGATTTTAATTTCAGTTTTGCCATCTCACGGGAAGGACGTGTTATAATAGCAGACGACATGGGTCTTGGGAAAACAATACAATCCATATGTGTGGCTTGTTACTACAGGAAGGATTGGCCCCTCTTGGTTGTGGTGCCATCTTCAGTCAGATTTGCATGGTCCGAGGTAAAACTTTAATAGGAGTGCCTTTTGAAGAATGCTGTGGGAGTTTACCACATATACCTACTTGTGTAATATTATGGTCTTTTTTGACAGAAATAAAGATACCAGAAAGTTTGGAATTAAACCTTTTGTGAACAAGACATATGGGTACACATATGAAATTTGCATTGTATTTTCAAGTTATTTCTTTAACGCAGTAAAAACAAGTTTTTCACTGTCTCTTGTGTAAAAAGTCAGGCATGTCACTGGAGGTCTCAAGACTAAAGGGTCATAGATCAAGGCATGTTTACTCTTTTTAGAAACAATTTAGTAGTTTTTTGTAACCATAACAGGGCGGCTTTAGTCCATCTTCTGGGCCTTCCAAAAGACGGTCAGATTTTCAGGTTCACATTGACGGGTAACTATTTATTATTTCTGTTGGAAGACGGTCAAAAAATGGAGGATGGATCAACAAAGATAATATGGAAGATTGTCAGAAAGTATCCTTAGATCCGCCCCTGCATATTGTTATGGCTATCATTACATTTTTTTTTGCAGCAACTACAAAGGTGGATCCCTAATCTCAACCCAGATGACATTAACGTAGTGGTTACTGGTAAAGATGATGTCACTGCTGGGAAAGTTGTCATTGTCAGCTATGACATGATGACCAAAAAGAAGAATGATCTACAGCATGTAGGATTCAAGGTGGCCATTTTGGTGGGTGATTGATGAAAAAAACAATTATTCGATTTTGCCGTCACCCAGATTTTGCTGAGGAACAATTAGTAAAAATGAATTAAAAACATAATGGATAAAAGTTAGGGGCATTTATCCCAGATCTACAGGAAAGTGAATCTGGCTCAAAACTTATTGTAGAACATTCAGTTGCAAAGAGACACTGGTCTTAAAGCTTAAAATATGTACTTTCTTGTTTTTAAAATTAGGAAAGGCACCCTAACTTCAAAAATATTGGATGTAAGTCAAGCAGTAGATATTTATAGATGTACCAGATGAACACTTAATGGCATTTTGGTATTTGTCTTTAATGAAATTTCCATTATACATTGTAATATGTTTCAGGACGAAAGTCACTTTTTGAAAAATTTCCGTACAGCCAGGTGCCAAGCAGCACAACTGATTTTGAAGGTAATTTTAAAATGAACAAAACAGTTAAGACACAGTGTACACATTAAACCAAGTTAATTATATTTTTATGAGGTATGAGAAAGTAAAAACTCCTAGGGCAGTTTTTCATAAATATTCCCTTTATCGCCAAGGACAATCCTATCGAAAACTGTGGGGAAAATGACAATAAAATGTGAACCCATTTCTGTAGTTTATTTATTTTTCACTATTTTTTGCTCTCTAGAAAAGTCTTATGTAGAATTAATGTAATGATCATTTCTATAATGCCCTTTCTACCAATTAAGTAATATGTTATGTTATTTATACAGATATTTGTTTTTGTATGATTTTATGTTGCTAATATTATATGATATTTAGTATTAATGAGTGCAGGTATTTGTGTATATGTGCTTGCATATTTGAATGCTACTTTTGTATCTTGCTAAACCATCTACTACAGTTAGTATATCTTTGCCTCATGTTCTTATAAAAACTCTTTTCATCACTATTCAGGTATCCAAACGTGTGATTCTCCTCTCTGGGACACCTGCGTTATCTCGCCCCGCAGAGCTGTACACCCAGCTGAGGCTGGTCAAACCTCAACTCTTCCCCAACTTCCACCTCTTTGGTCTGCGATATTGTGATGGTAAACAGGTAGGTTAAAGTGTCTGACTGTATTATATTGCATATCCAAATTAAAGCACCTCTGCCAAAGAAGAAGGATATATTTTTATTAATGATAGTTTGTCTCTTTTTTAAAGGACAAGATTTTTATGAAGGTCTGAAATTTTGATGAAATATTCATGGTACTGGCTATTCAAGAATGCTAGTGCTTTTTAGTTATGTTATTTGTTATATCAGATTATATACCAATTCAGTTTACTAAATAAATTCGTTCTTTGTCTAACTTGAGGAGTGGAGAGAAAAGAGTTTTACTTTGTATCATCAGTATCTAGCAGAGCTTGTTTAGAAATTATCTCCATCATATGCATTACTGATTAGAATGATGTGAAACAAAATTCATAAAACTTTCAATTTGAAACATCATATCACCCAGAGATTCCATTCTCTACATCTACCATCTAGTGGCCCAATTTTGGTCTACAGCTGATGAAAAATTATAAATCTATTAATTAATTTAGGCACTGGTGATCAAGTGAGTAAAAATTGGAATGTATGGTAAGAAAAAGAAATCTCATTTTGAAGTATTCCCCAACGCATGTCATTGAACTAACATAATTATAGAAGACGATGTCTCCTTTTCCCATTTTGAATGGTGAATATAGAAACACTGAAATCAACATTTTCAAGTTTGAAAATTTATTCACACTGAGAGTTTACAGTTCACAGCAAAGTTTATGTGATACTTTGGCTAATACATTCTTTATTGGATACAGTAACTTATAATGATCATAGTTAGACATATGAATACAATACTATTTCATGGAAACAGCACTCATTGTACATTGTACACAAACTTTTGTTTTCACACTTTTTGGTTACTAAAAATCAGATATCTTGAATATTATTTACTTATCTTACATGTACCAGTATATATTAATAATAACATGTAATATATCACATTGTACCTTATATTAGTATAAGTAACTATAATATGTAAAGAGATGTAATGTATATGTACATTTGGGGTTGCGCCCTTTTTGTGTTATATGAGTCATGTGACCCTATTCTATAACAAACCTTTGGCGTGTAATTCTTGAGAAATACACAAGGAGATACAGTGTGCACGCAGCGAGATATACAAGTGATCGGACATGAAGAAAGTACTGTATTTTATGTAAAATCAAGCGGAATAAAGACTTTTAAAAGGACAATACATTTGTTGTCGTGCAACGGTTGCAGACACATTAGGTAGTATTTTCTATAGTAAATATTCAGAACCAGAATAGGATATGAAATCCTTAATGAATTTTTGATAATTATAGTCATTGTATAATACTAGTAATTACACATGATTATAAAACAAAATTGTCACACAAATAACAAAAGCATTGTGAAATGGCATAAATTGTAAATAGAACAACTTTATCACACAAATTAAAAAGCATTGTAAAAAGGCAAAAGTTGTAAACGGAACAATTTTATCAAACAAGTTGAAAAGCATTGTAAAATGGCAAAAGTTGTAAACGGAACAATTTTATCACACAAATTAAAAAGCATTGTAAAACAGATATTTACATTGACAACACTTCTAATTACATTTACTATTGCCATTTGGTAACATCTCCCATGATTCAAATTTCTCATGTAACAGGTTTAATAAAAAGTTTTTTTTTCCACTTTTACTTGTTCAGTTTCTGTTATATGAGTTTGCTCATGGCGTACTCATGAAAAAAAAAAAAAAAAAGAAAAGAAAAACACTTCAGTTTTCTACATTAATTTTCCCACTTCTACACAAGTCCCAGTTAAATAATTATGTATTTCACCAAACACAATACTAATATTGTCCTGGAAAATGTATTTGATCAGTTTTGTTCAGATCTTAACTAAAACATAATCAGATCTGGTGAGTAATTTCTGTACACATTTTCAGAATAATTTTGGCTGGGACTACAGTGGATCCTCTAATTTGCCTGAGCTTCAACTTCTTTTGGAAGAAACCATAATGATCAGGTAAGTAAACTTTGATTACCACATAGTTTGCTCTTAGATTACTTAAATACATAAAATTAAGGGGCCTTGATCACTAGGCTGACTCAGTGTTGTGTGGTCCATAAGGGTCAAAATGTCATGCATTACCAGTAAAAAACATGGACAAAATTATCTGATAATTTTGCCCATGGTAGAAGCATACAGTCTCTTTGATATACAAGTAATTTACCCAAATATTTTAATTTGCCTTCTAAACATAAGAGAAGACAAAGGAAAAAATAAAACATTCTACAGAACAATATTCAGATGTGATGGACAAGTTCACAAACTGTGTAAGTTCTATTCTAGTTGACATCACAATACTAATTGTATTACTATGGTGGGGTCTAGGACAACACTTTACAGTACCTCACATTTCTTCAGTTGGGATTAGATAGCAGTAATACAGCCTGTGTTTCTGGGTTTTCTTCTAACCACTCTCTTTACATTATCAGCATTTAGCCAGTGAATGATCTGGTTATTTACTTAATGAAATAATTATAGAAATACTGATATATGAAACATAAAGAGGTTGGTTTCCAGAAAACTAAAACACAATGTGGATGTACATGCATGTCTTCTGTTACAAGTGGTATTTATGTCTCCTCCATCTCAGTGTACCACAACTTTTTATAGTCTCATTCATAGCAAGAAAGAAGGCAACAAGGAATATTGTTTGTTCGCGATTTGGCCAAACCAGCCCGCTTTTAATATATAACCCCTCTATCCTAATCGTTTGAACAATAATAACAATGTAGCAAATTGTTGCCTGTATTAAATGTTATGGCCTTAGGGATAAAAATATAAAGATTATATATCAAATATTCAATAAGACTCATCATCCTAAAACTTATGATGCGACGAGACAGCAAACGTTATTATTTACCAACAATTTTGCACAAATTTCATTTGTGGGGTTGCAAAGAGGCGTGGTCTATAATTTGATAACATGGTATACCACTGATTCAGAAACTAATTGTTTAAAATATTTTGGGCTCAAGTTTATAAATTTTTTCCATTTTGGCCATTTTGATGTTGGCTGAGTTTGAGAAACTAATTATTAAAAAAACACCTGTCTAACTTTGGTCTAAAAATTGGTTTTTAAACCAACATTTTAGTCTACAGTACTTTGATCCAAAATTGATCAGTGGTAGGCCAGTTTAATGAATTATAATTTACATCAGTTTTATTACAAGAAAGGCATTGCACATGTTTCATACCAGTCCTTACTTTATGTAAATGCATTACCATGCTTTACCTTGAACAGGAAGCATGTGATATAACAAAAATACTGAACTGATTAAAACAAGCGGGCATAAAGATTTTGTATATCTTGAAGGAAGGGCTTTAGGTGACCAAGATCATAGGCATATTTCAATGCCACCAAGCATATATATACAGATAAAACCAGCACAAAGAACCAAAATCTTTCAAAGACTTGAAGAAAATGTTGGTCCATGACATCATATGTGAATATAGAACGTAAATGTCTTAATGAGACATACATATGATATGAGCCTACAATATCTGACACTAAAATGAAACATAACACAATGTGCAGCAATGGATAGCTTGAAAGAATCAATGTTTTATTAAAGAAGTACCCATATTCAACACCCACACATACCAGAGAACATATGTTCATTATGGATAAAGAAAATTCTGGTAAGAGGATCAGAAGTACATGTAAACTGACAATGATAATTAGTATAATGAGTAAAATTGTTAATGATAAATATGTCATAGAAATATTTTTAGTGCCTGAGGAAAAGTGACCACAGCAACACATGCCACAAGTACTTGTAAAATATAACTATGTAAATGAAAAATAAACCTCCTGGGTGTTACTGGAATTTGTTCATGGGTAGGTGTTGATGTTCTGTGTGAACTTCTGCGTGTACATATTAGCAAAGTAAAGATGATGCATATGAAAAGTGCTGCTGGTGGCATTATTACAAGAACATAAATGTAAGCTAAGTTGAGAACATAAATGTAAGCTAAGTTGTACCCTACCAAATGAAGAAGAAAAACTAAACGCTCTGAGTTAGAGCCCAACACCAGAGGTGCAATCACATGGTCATATGCCTGATGGGCTATGAAGTGAAAGAGCCGCATCAATACTTGATAAACCCTCGTCAGCAATTGTCTGACATATTTGAAGGGGGTCAATACAAACAGAAGTTTGCTATAGATGAACAGATCACAAGGGATTGGTCTCAGAACTTGATAAATGTCCTTCAACAGCCGTCTGATATATCTGAACAGGGTCAGTATGAACAGAACTATGCTATAGGGAGATAAACAGTTGTGACATGTAAGGCGATGGTAACCACGCCTAGGTATTGATTCACACTCACAAGAACAAGATTCATCTTCCCTGTTTTCATGAGGAAAAATAATATTGGTGGCTTCACTTGGGTCCTGTTTTAATATCTCATATGTACTCTCTACACTGTCAGCTAAATTATTTTGTTCCTTATCCCTAAGTGCTCTAACAAAATGTCCATAAGGGTTGAACTGTGGGTTACATCTACAGATGTAATCAATTAAAAGCTGACATTGGTCAGGGCGGAGTTTTTCTACTCTGATTTTTTCTTTTTGGCGCTCATTGATGACATGGTGCTGGTACAGGTATGGCAATAGTTCATCTGCATTCATGTTTTCTACCAGCTTCTCATAGTTTTTACGGATGGCCAGCTTCCACAGGTCACTTGCCATGATAATTTCTGAAGAAAAATTAAATTTTAGAACATCACTAACTATCACTTTCATTCTCCCATGGTTTGTCTTTTTTTTTGCACTCCATATACAGCATTGGTCAAAAAGGTTGTCCCACCTTCAGTATCATATGCTTTTATTTATATATGATCACATCACAGGTGAAGATTGTTATAAATAGTGATTTTCATTACAGAAACCATAACTAACATGATCAGTGATACAGAAAATACAAACTATTGGTGAAGATATCAGTATTTGATACCATTTATTCACATTTATTACATATACCCCCTCACATCCGACGTTTCACTGTGATTTTCACAGAGGTAAATAAATGTTCATTAAATTGAAATGACACCACTAAATGTCACCAAATTTACACACATTTAGCATTAGGCTCGTTAATGGCTCTTTGTCTAATAGCGTTTGTGTTTACCACGTACTGTAATTACTTCCTGTAGGTGGTTGTGGCCTGCCTTCAACGGGGATAACAATTCTGTTTTATGGGATATTGTCCCATTCTTCCTAAAGAGCTTGGGGGAGTTGGTCTAGATTACTAGGAATTTGGTCCTCCTTTCCATTTCACACTTCAATTCATGTTTAGTAAGGTTAATAACATGGCTCAAAGGTGGTTGCTCTATCCTCTGAACATTGGGTTTCTGCAACAAATCACTCAGCAGATGAGAGTACTGAGCACGTGCATTTCCACAATGATGCCTGCAATATCCCTGAAGTCACCTTTTGCAAATAAATGGAATGAGATATTTGTTGAAAATATTTCAGTGAATTGCCCCATTAACATTCTTTTCCAGAAAGAACAATGCACTAAAACCATGGGCTTGGAATGCTCTCCAAACGTGGTCTGACCTGACACCTCAGGCGATATTATCCTGCACAAACCTTCCAAAAAGCATTCTGCAACATGTCTACGGGCCCTAATTTGGGCCCTACAAGAAATACCTTGATTCTTCAGCAAAACCAACTTGTTCCTAGTGATGGTTGACCAAGTTCTGGTAGTTCTGGGGTCACTGAACCTAACATTTTCAACTGATACCTCATTCCATCTGCAAGAGAGGACTTCGGGGATGATGCAGGCTTCATCATGACAGCACACTTGCACACAGTTCTCATGTGGTGAGTGATTTGTTGCAGAAACCTAATGTTCTGAGACTGGAGAAACCATCTTTGAATCCTGATAATAAACCTACTGAGAACCCGTGGCGTGAATTAAAGTGTGCAATCCAGAGGAGAACCAAACCCCAACTGGTCCTGACCAATTAATTCCGCCAAGCTTTTTAGGAAACATGAGGCAAAATCCTACAAAACAGAATTGTTACCCCTGTTGAAGGCGGTGCCGTCTACAGGAGATAATTAAAGTCCGCGGTAGACACGTGACCTTTAATGGGAACACACTAATGTTAAATGTCTGTAAATTTGGTGACTTTAGGTGGTGTCTTTTCAATTTAATGGGCATTTCTTTACCTCTATGGAAATGACAGTGGAACATCGGATGTGAGGGAGTACATGTAATAAATGTGAATAAATGGTATTTTAATTTAATTTAAAAATAATTTAATTTAAAAATATAGATATCTTAACCGCTACTTAGTATTTTCTGTACCAATAATCATGTTAGTTATGGTATCTGTAATGAAAATCACCATTCATAGCAATAAGCACCTGTGATGTGAATATTTATAAATAAAAGCACATGAAACTGGGGGTGGGACAACCTTTTTGACCAATGTTGTATGTATCAGTTCCCTTCTATTACTTTTGTTTTCTATAACCCAAAAAATGTTAATAATGGGATGAATTTTAAAAATAAGTGTTAATTTAAAATCTTATGTGCCCCAAGAGTTACTGTGCCCCAAGTTATGTTTTCTTTCTTTTATGATTATGAAACTTTTTTTTGTGGAGGGTCTTTTTTGAGTTGAATGACTATATCATAAATAAATAAATAAATAGTGGTGCTTAATCAGTTGGCACATGAAACAAATCCCCTAATGGATTCCCCACCTCCCAAAAATGCTATCTCTGCAGGGTAACAACAATTAAATCCTGGCTCAACTTTAATCAGGCAAAGGAACAAGGCAAACATCAGCATAAGAACAAATTACACCCTGATTGAAGTGGAGCCAAGATTTAATTGCTAGGCCCCTGTAGGGATGGCGTGTGTAGGAAGTCCATAATGGGATTATGTGGCATTGCTTTCAAGTTGGTTGATGATTGTTTTTGGCAACCAATATCAGCTACCTTGTGACAAAGTCTTTGTTTAAATTATATTTTTCATATTAAGAAGTTATCAGTGTCTTCCAAGTACTTGAAAAGTATATAAAGGGACATGCTTAAAATTACTTTACTTCATTTAATTCTTGGAAAAAAAATTAAAATGCTACCCACTTAAAATATGTTATTTTACAAGTTTTCTTCTGTTTTAATATTTTTCTTTCTTTCTTTCTTTTTATTTATTTATTGATGTATTTATTTTTGAATGCTTATGTAACCATTTGTTACCTTATAAGACAGCAAACTCTGACAAATGTCTGTTATCTTAATCTTTAGCTTCCAAGTTATAGCTGTTGGCCTTTTTGTTACTCCTATGGATAACTGCACACTGTCAAAAATGAATATGTTTAGACTTGTAAATTGCTGACATTTTAGATTGGCACTGCCTATAGTTACTGTAACATGTAATAAAGGACAGGGTTTCGGAGTTGTGTGTGAGATAATACACTGTCACCCGTGCGATATATGCCATAACACCTCGAGGTTCAGCTAGAGGTGTCCATGGCATATATCGCGAGAGGGTGACAGTGTATTATTTGTCATACATACAGAGGAAAAATATAGTCATTTCACCCTAAAACACCACTAAAACCAAATAAAGTGACCCTATATCACACTCTAGAGATGTTATATGGAATAAACTCATCCACGTGCACTGGTCACCTCCCGCCAAATTCTTACATAATGTCTGACCAATTTGGTCAATTTTTGCAAAATACTTGTTGTGGAAGTTCAACTCGCTTGAACAGTATTTAATCAACCGTCGACAATGACCGTGTATTTAATCAACCGTCGACAGACAGCCACACCTAGCTGAGACTGCTGCGGAAAAAAGGTCCCAAAGCAAATACACTTCTTTTTACCAGGAGCATTGGCAAAATATAATCAAATTAATTTTCACAAGTGCAAAGTAGAAAGAAATTTACATTTTTGTGATATTTCTGACAACGAGACAGTTTCAGAATATAATCGAAGTCAAACGGATATTTATTACAAGTCCACAGGAGTAATAATTCTATGTTTTAGGAATATACATGTGCTGGCTTTTAGAGCATCCTTGTGCTACATGTAATTACAAGTTCAAAGGGGGAATAAATTTGATTTTTACCGATATTACTGATAAAGAGGAAGAATGAACAGCTTAAACACAAAAGGTAAATGACACATCTGTCATTAAAATATTTTTTGTATGCACATGTGGTTTAAATGTAAATTAATTCCCGTTTTCAAACCATACCCATATGATATGACTTAGTGTAATAAATTTATAAAATAATAAATAATAATTGTTGGACATGAAAAGTTTATGGAATATGCTGATTTTTTATGAGTGCGAGAGATTTTAAATTTGTCTAGGTATTTAACGCAAGCAAAGTCGCTTTTCTCTTGATGCCAAAAGGTTACTTGTATAGCTCTGTCTTCGGCTTTCAGCATTTTAGAAACCTTGACTGACTTAACCAAGATATAGTCGCAAAAGTGTTCCGAGAGATGGTACGCAGAAATTTTGAGTGAAGCGAGATATTTCTGGGTAGTGACTTGAGGTTGCCCTCAATTTTCACTGAAGCTTATCTAAATGGACAGGCTTCAGTGATCAGCATATTGCCACGATCACATAACATCCCTAGGTATGTATATACTGGGTAATGGTTAAAAAAAAAAAAACGCATAGATAAATGTATATCCTAACAATGAATGAAAGTCAAAAACTTTATTGCCGTACGTACATTATTTTGAATAATGGATATATCTTAGTATTCATTGACTAAATAAATTAACATTTACCCAAACTTAAAATCAGCACAAAGGTAGATGCATCATTGAATAATTAGATGTAGGTAAAACCACATTTTTGATATCTGGATGATAATAAACCCTTTCAGCACCCTTAAGCATGCCTTTATTGATTGATTTTGGCGTGGTCCCTTTTTTATCTTTGAATTATACTTACAGTATATAATACAGCAAGCTGTCTGTCTGGGCACTGATATCTTGATTTGAGGGAACCAAGTAGTAGCTAACAGCTTCACTGTCACACTTTCACTGGATAACTGTGCAGTTGAAAAAATTGGGATTTTTTTGTGTATATTTTAAGCTAAAAATAATAGTTACCCTGTAACAAAAGTTTTGTTAAGATTAATAGATTGCTGTTAGCTTTGCAGTCCAGGTACAAGTACTGGTCAATACTGCTGTGGGCCAGGTATTGATATGCTTTGTACTGTGGGGTATTGTTCACCTAAAAAACTTTGATATGTTATGGTTAATCAAAACATGGATACAAGAACTTCCGGCTGACTGACTTTGCGCTTTGATCAGGGCTTTGTATATTATGCAGGGCTGTGACTGTTGCAGTAGTTTTTGGTGAAAATAGTAACAAAATTTTATTTAAAAATCATCATCATCATCATGCTATTTTGCACTAGGTTTGGAGTGTTGACCTCTAATTTGATCACAGGGATTTTCTTCACTAGATATTCACAATAGGAGCATTCACATTGATAAGGCCGCAACCTAAATATGGCGGACCTACATGAAAGGGAAAATGCTTAATCCTGTAATGGTCTCTCCGCCTCTCACACGGCTCCCCATGCGTCATCCCTCAACCTGTTGAATTGAGCAAAGATTTAATAAGTGTGCCTCTGCAGGGACGGGAGGAGGCGTGTGAGAGGCAGTGAGACCATTTATGGATTAAGCAATCTTTCTTTCATGTAGGTCCACCATATTTAGGTCGCAGCCTTATTAGACCTTGGCTCTTCTTAATGTGAATGCTCCCAATAAAGTTCTCTGACTATTTGCTAGCTCTACGCGTTTTTAAATACTGTCCATAGAGAATGTTTGCACAAAAATTACATCATCACCCAGCTGCCCTCTGGTGGAGAGTAATGGAGTGACATGAATGATACAGTGGTGCGACTTGTATTCATTTTTTGTGGCACATGAGTATAGGGGTGATATTAAAAAAAAGCTGTTTCATCAGATTCATGATTTCATTAATTTTTGTTTCAAACTGTGCATTATCCTGAACATGGCAGTTCTGCTTTTAGAAGTATCTTTATTCTTTGCTTGCAATATAATTTTTAATAATTTAACAAAATGTTCTAGTATTTCTTGCACTTTTATTTTGGATTTATGAGAAGAAAGATGTGTGACAGGAGTAGCTAATTCTTTAGAATTAAGTATTAAGCATCCATTTTCAAAAAATTTCCAAGAAATTAAAAATATCAAATAAGGAAATCAAAGCTAGAAAAATTCCAGTGTATTTGCAGTATATATTTTTTAATTGATTAGTTGCTGCAGGTAAGGCTAATTGGCATATTTCTGTTTCATAGTGGCTAAAGTATTTTTATAATTCTGCCTTTACCCTTATACCACTTCATGAATTCTCTCTCTCTCTCTCTCCCTGAATTGTTCATTATGAGAAATATTTATATGCTGTTCAGACAATGTTGAAAAATAAATAAATAAATAAATAAATAAATAGATAAATAAATAATGAATGTTTTTGTTAATGACTCAAGTCCAAGAATTAATTAATGCAGCTTCTTGAAGTTCACATTCAGTGCATTATGCATAATATTTATTTAAAGTTGTTTGCAAACAAAACAACCAGAGCACTTTGACATTAAAATTCCAACCAATTTTATTACTGACACTTACATGTTATATACCACAATATTATAAATGGTCTTATTCATGCTGAACAATGCTCAACTCATAATAAGGAGCTGACTAATAAAATAGAATAATTATCTTTAACCAAGTGTTTAATAATAAAAAAAAAATTAAATGACCAAGTTCTGTGTTGCAGATGGCTCATCAGGAGCACACTTTTAAGTTTCAAAACACTATCAACTTAAACCAGAGGATAATATTTTATATCATCTGACCTTCAGATTGCTTTAACTAAGAAATCTTAAAAGATTAATATACATGGTCATCTGGGGCCAGTTTCACAAAATCACTTAAGCCCAAATGTTGGTCTGAACTTCAGATTTAAACCAAAATTTTAGTCTAGATAATTAATCAGTTTTCTAACAAAGATATCAAAATGATTAAAATAAGTAAATATTAAAATTATATCTAGAACTTACTAATTTCTGTAAAGTAATAGTATAAGATCATTTGAAAACAAAGTGAATATATAATGCACATACTAAAAGAATGTGTAGCAGTATTATTTTTAGGGATATGCTGTTAGAATCACATTTGACTAGAATACGTAAATGTCTTAATGAGACATACATATGTAGCTTATGGTCAATATCTGATACCAAAATGGAACATAAAACAATGTGCAGCAATGGATAGCTTTAAAGAAATGAAGGTGTATTGAAAACGAAAAAAATCAGAGAACAAACATTGTCAAGTACATTTATTATAATTAAAGGTGATCTTGTTATGTCAGCTGAGGGCATCACGTCATATTCTACGCTTAGTAGTATCACAATCAGCAGCATTGTAAGTACAAAAACAAAGATTAATTCTGTATTTTTTAAAGCTGGTAACATAAAATATCTGACCACAAATGAACATGATACAAATAATGTCCCCCAAACCTTTTGTAAAGGAGAAACGATGTCTTTGAATGCTTCATATACAGGCATTATTTTGTTGTTTTTAGTTGAATTACCTAGAATACAACATAGCACTATTGTAGTGAAAAAAATGGTGAATATTACTTCTGGCATCATTACAAAAAGAATGTTGATCCAAGCTATGTTGTATCCTACCAAGTGAAAAAGATATACCAAACGCTCTAAGTTTGAACCAGAAAGCACAGGTTCAACCATGTCATCATACGTCTGCTTGGCTACGGACCTAAGGAGTGAATCCAATCCTTTGTAAACCTTCTTGACATAATTTAAGGGGGTCTCTTTATAAAGGGAAGAGTTATTGGTGGTTGTGTCATCTGTGTTCTGCTGTAATGGCAGATCTGTTCTACACTGAGCAGAGCTAGGTGTGTCTGTCACATCTTGTGTAGGAACAATGGTGGCTTCACATGAGTCCTGTGGTAATGATTGATATGTACTTTCTAGACTGTTGGCTAAATGATTCTGTTTTATTCCCCTAAGTGCACTGACAAAATGCCCATAGGGGTCAATCTCTGGGTCCGTTCTAAGGATATATCCAATCAAACACTCACATTGGTCGGGGCGGCTGTTTTTAGCCTTGATTGTTTCCATTTCGTTGTGGTTAATGACATCATTTTGGTACAGGTATGGCAAGAGTTCATCTGCATTCATGACATCTGTCAGAAGCTTGTAATTTTTCCGGATGGCTTTTACCCATGGAGGTTCCATTATATTTTCTGAAGTAAAAGCAAAATTTACACCATCAATTAACTTACACCATTCACTCACATAGGTTCAGCCCTGTCGTCATTTGTCTGCAGTGTTATGGAATGAAAGAGCTTTCAAATTATTAGTATTTGGAAGGGAATATATATTTCCTTAAAGGAAAATGGACAGAGTAAATTTCAGTTTTTGAAGTTTAGGGAAACAATGTGTAGGGAATCTGTTTACTTAAGATAATATGTTAAAATAGGTAACCACTCTATAAACACTATAAAAATACACTGTAGGTTATTAGTGGAAAAAGAGTGTGTTTTAAAACACCCGACCTCAATCTGCAAAATTAATATGAAGCAACAGATCTAGGTCATGTGGCCAGGTGAAAACTTCCAGTTTATGTATTATGATGCAGAAATCATTAATAGGACACGTTTTCTGAAGGATGACCTCCATTCTAGCCATTCTGATTGTTTGTGGGAAACCCGTTAGGGAAAATAAACTAACTGCAGTATGCTGTGTGCTCATATATATATATATATAACACAAGTATCAGCAAAAATGTGAAAGGAAACTGAATACATTTCAGAGCCTTTGTGATGCTTTTGACAAAAAATGAACAGTTGCATGAAATCCTCTGATTACCATATAAAAAACTCACAGATTCAAAGTTACACGTATGTAAATTTAATGGTCATCAATTTACAGAGAGTCCAACCCCAGTAAGCCAAACCAACCACACAACTTATTATTATTTTTTTTTATTAGTAAGCCTCCCAGCTGTCTTTGGAAATAGAGGCTGTCTTTTGAAGCCAATGGTCTTCCAAATGATGGTTGGGTAGCAGTTGCCTGTTTAAGTGTCATTTTCAATATTAACACCACGGTGACCTGATATCAGATATTTATTTCCTTGTTCAACTTAGTCTAAGTGATTAAAATCTTAAGATTAGATTTACCTGTATACAATCCCATTTATTTTATTTAATATAAATTCCATTTCACTTACTTTATTTCAGACGCCTGAAGAAGGATGTGTTACAGCAGTTACCTGCTAAGAGACGGCAGATGATAGTTTTGGACCCAGAGCTTGTGAAGATTGACAAGAATCTCAAGTCTTCTGCAAAGTTGCTGGATTCAAACAAAATCAAGGTGAATTATTTTCAAGCTTTCATGTATGTAAGAGAAGAAAGTCCTCAAGATTTATCTGGAAATTGGGTAATTTGGGTTATATTTATGCCCCCAACACCCCTGTTTAGATTTGTGTGCCTTCTTATGGTTGGATTTTCCATATTATTAAAAGACACACTCTGAAATTGAAATCATAGTTGCAAGTATTTGTCTCATATTGGAAATGAAAACAGTTTACTTGTGGTAAATATAGAACTTAGACTCGTTGACTAAGGGAAATTGTTTTTAAACAATTTCCCTTAGTCAACGAGTCTCAGTTCTATATTTGTTACAGGCATACGTTCAATTTGTCTGTTTATAATTTAAAAATTATAAACAGACAAATTGAACGTATGCCTGTAACAAAATATAAAAACCCACCTTCAGTTTTAAAGAGAGTAAACCTTCACTGCATGTATGAAATAATGAATACTGTCGGTTTGTCTGTCACCTGTTTACAAGTAGTGATGTTGTATACTGTGTACTATAAATAGGGGATGAAAATTTTACAGCAGGTGTGCTTTTATCAGTAACGTACCTGCTCAAACTGACCTAGAAAGATATACGCTTTATGTATAGCATACACTTGATGCGCCAGATGTATTAAATATATATAAGATGTTACAGTACCATTGTATTACCTAAACGAATGCTGAATTTTCACTATATTTAAGTATTGAATAAATGTACATTCACTTTCTTCTTTTGTAACTGTCTCAAAGTCAAATTTTCTGTGTCTACATATCCTGCAAAACTGTTAAATTAAATATCCCAATTTGACCTTAAAAACAACATGACTTAGTCTAGTAAACCTCTACAAGTGAAAGTACCAAATGTCAATACTTCCTTCTAAAATGCATTTGAAAACAAAATCATTTCATTAAAATGGTATAAAACACAGAATCCAAGTGCAGGAACAGATCAAGCAATGATTTGTGAGTTACATTGACAGTCACTGTACTATATTAAGAGAAAATAATTTTTTTCATGGAAAATTCCGAATAGCATACCCGGTAACTATAAATGTTATAATGATGTTTATATGCAAACTGTTGCATTTTTTTTTTATTATAGGGGTCTGACCGCCATGGTTTTTTATTGACATATTTCCATGACACAGGACAGGCAAAAGTGAAGGCTGTCAGGTAAAATAAATATAATTGTTAAGACATCACATTTAAAGTATGATATGTTAATTAGGCTACTTATGTAGATAAATACATGTATTTAGGTAGAGTAATAATTTGCATAGATTTGCAAGTAAGTTATACTAAGGTGAAACTCTGAATTGAGTTATATAGAACTTTGGCTGTTAAATAGTGCCGATAGATTGTTGAATTGACGTCTGCATTTTTTGCGTGAATGGCATTCCACAGAGTTACCAATTGAGGTTAGAATTTATACTTATTTCTTTCCACAGTTTTATTGCTATTTTGTTTCTTCAATAGTTACAATTTTTAATTCTGTATAATCATTTCCTTTACTTTGTATTTATTCATTGTTTTATATTTTTAGCTTTGGTGTGTTTAAGGAAATCAGTTTCTAATGTTTTAGCTGAATGAATTTTTATTATTGTGTAATAAAAACTGTAATGTTAATTGCCATTGCGATTTATTCATTACAATATTTTATTATAATTATTATTTTCCTGTAGAGATTATGTGATCGACCTACTGGAAAGCGGCCACAAGTTCCTGGTGTTTGCTCACCATAAAGAGGTGCTAGATGCCTTAGAAGAGGCAGTGAGGAAGGAGGTACAATGTATTTACCAAACAGCAGTATTTTCGCTCGTAGTAACACATAGTAACACTGGAAGACCACAGAGTGGCTAAAAGCTCTGAAGGTGCAGCTTTAATTTAGTGTAAAAAGTGAAAAGTTTTATTTAATAACATTGTGATGCTTCATAGGTTCATGAAATTTGCAATGTCTTTTAAAGCAATTTAGTTATACCACAATACATTAAGTATAGCACCGAAATATTTCCTCCCCCTTCCATTATAAATTTATTCAAAAGTCATCTGCAGTTCAGTTTTCCATACACTGCAGCAGTGATGTCACACATATATTTTTATGCTTTATTATAATAATTTTGTTTGCAGGGGTATGGCTACATTAGAATTGATGGGAAGACTAACCCAGAGCAGCGTAACTTTTTCTGCCAGAAATTCCAGACCCACGATGATATCATGGTTGCCATATTGTCCATCACTGCCGCCAATGCAGGTCTCAACCTCACTAGCGCTGCCCTGGTGGTGTTTGCTGAACTCTTCTGGAATCCAGGAGTAAGTCTATGGCTCCATTCAGAAAAGGGGGCTAACTAGTCCGAGGGTCATATATATGGCGACCCACTACAAAGCTTGCCGTTTAATTCGCTAAAAGCCACTGAAAAGACACCCTGTGGGGAAGTATTCTAGTGGATCGGCTGTATTTGACCCTTGGACTAGTTTGTCCACTCTTCTGTATGTTTGTGTGCAAAGGCTTAGTGGATGTTTCTCTGGTTGTATTTGTGTATGTTTAGTCACAAAATTAAATGCATATTGGTGAGCAGGGTATTTCCTAATAATACTGCACCATAAAAAGCACTAGCCAGAGATAATTGCCCACTTAGAGAGACGCCAGGCTAGTAAAGAGTTTTAACTTTATAAGAATTATAAGAACACAATAACTTCTGTGTCAGTATAAGAACCAGTTTTGTTTTCTTTTGGCCACAATAATGTAGCAGTTTGTACCTTTTTCAGATTCTGGTTCAGGCAGAAGATCGCTGTCATCGTATTGGACAGCAAGACTCAGTCAACATTCACTATCTGGTGGCACGGAAGACTGCAGATGATTATATTTGGTAAGTGTTGGTTTTAATGTTCATGAAATCTTTTTGAAGGAAAATTAAGAAGCATGTTTTAATTATTTTTAGCAATTTGAGTGGAACTTTTTTGGCTTCTTTGGTTTGTCACAAATTTTCATCAGTCTTAAAAACATCTCAGCTTTGTGAGAATAAAATTTTAGAATTTTTACTCCTTTATTCTTGGCCACAAACCTGGTAACAATTCTTTGTACATCTCCAAGAGACCAAGAGAAAGGAATTCATTTCATCAATGAATGTCAATGTTTTTTCTTCAGTGATTTGGTTGCAAGCATTATTCCCATGCAAAACTAATCTTCGAGCCAAATTGATAAAATTTGTAATAACTAAGTATAATATTGTCACGTTTGGTAATATTTCCCTCAAAGAAACATTCTTGTCGGGAACATTTGTAACTATTTTATGCACATATTAATAACTGGTAGAACAAAATGGCTGTCCCTGGAAAATGAGCCTCCTACTGTTTCAGGCCTCTAGTACAGAAGAAGCTGTCAGTGCTGGGCAAGGTTGGTCTAAGCAAGGAGGACTTTTCTGAGGCTGACACTACAGTACTTAAGGTAGCCCAAAATAGTAATTGTTTGAAATGAGAAAATATTTAGTCATAGAAATAAAATAAGGCATCCTCATATTTGAGTTAGATTCTTGATATGTGGTACTTTAAAATGTAGTAAATTTTTTTGTTTCATATAACTTAGAAATGAGCTTGCATATAAGGTAAACGAACTTTGTAAGAAAAGAACTTTTTGTAAAACACAGGCAATGAAGACATTTAATAATTAAAAGAAAAGCAGCCATTTATTAACATTTATTCCAGAAGATTGTCTCTTCAGTGAATATTTTATACTGTAATATTTAGATAAATGCATCATCATTTGCTGTTGTAGGACAAGAAACAGAAAGATATCCTCTCCTATTTTGAAGAATCTTTCATGGAGGAAAGTGACATTCCAGAGGTTCAAGACAATGTTACTGCCATCAACCAAACTGTGGCATCTTCATCCAATCAAAAATCTGAACATCCTGGAGGTCAAAGAAGCATGCTACAGTTTGTATCAAATGGCAGCAAGGAGAGCACTGCAAAGGGGGAACAGCTGGCAGCAGAGAGGCTGAAGGAGGAAGGAAATGTAATGAGTGTGGAAGAAGAGCTAACGGGTGATTGGCTGGACGAACTTGACGAAGAATGGGACGAACCTGCAGAGAAAAAAGTGAAAGTAGCCCACAGCGAAAGGTGAACAACTGGCAGCCTAAGGACAGAACCAGGAAATAGGGCAGACGGGTCTTGAAAATATCACATTAATGATGCAGTGTAATTAAGGAGGCTGGCAACATATCTGTATGTTAACTTAAAGATAACAGGGGCCTTTGGAGTATTCAAGGAGGGCAGAGATGTTAACACAAACGTTATCATGGAATGGGTTTCCTTGTCTCCTCTGGAACTCGGGGGGGGGGGGGGG